GCCCCAGGCACACCTGGGGCAGGGACCCGGTGGAGAGGTGCAGCTTCTGCTGGAACAAGTCACTCAGTGCCTGGTTCTGCCGCTCCAGCTCGAACACCCGTTTCTTCAGCTTGATGCACTCCTCACGCAGGTCCTGGTCAGGGCAGGGGGGTGGGGGGGTTAGAAAGGACCCCTCAGACTCCCAACATCCCCCCCAGATCCCCAACATTCCCCCTAGAACCGCAACACCCTCCCCGGCCCTCCTGACACCCACCTTTTGGTTGAGCAGTGCCTGCACCACGTGGTTGGCGACCTGGGGAGCAGAGGGGGGTTTGGGTGGGGTGGGAGGGCACACACAGCCCCCTGCCCCTGCACACACGTGTGCACACGTGTCCCACATGTGTGTGTGTCCCTGTGTCCCCGTACCTCGTCCAGGCAGCGCTCGTACGTCTCCCTCTGGTTCTCGTTGGCCTGGGCCAGGGCTGAGTTCTCTGCCTGGGACAGAGCAGGGACAACTCAGGGGATGCAGTGGAGGGGCCCGGGCACCTGGACCCCCCTGTGGCACCAAGGGGACCCCTCCTCCTCTTCCTGGTAGGACCCAGTGCCACTCATGGAGGGGCAGAGCTGACCCCTGATCAGTGGCACACAAGGGCCATGGAAAGTGCTGCCCATCACCGCGGTGCCTGGGCTGTGGGGTCCACGGCTGGCTCTTGGCACCAGCTGCATGGTGGCCACGGTTTCATGGTGGCCATGGCTGCCTGGTGGCACCAGCCATGGCTGCCTGGTGGTCCCGTGCCCCGGTGGTCCCATCCCCACGTACCTCCAGCTCCCGCAGCCGCTGCAGCAGCTCATGGCTGGTGCCCGTCTCTCCCAGGGCCGCGGGGCTCCCGGCTCCCGGCGCCTCAGCCACGCTCTCCGACATCACTGCTGCAGGGGACACATGTCAGGAGGGTCCCTGCTGGCCCTGGCCAGTGTCCCCCGGCCCGGGGCACCCCCAGACCCTGCGCAGCACAGACCCCCCTTACCTGGCTCGGGGCGTCCCCAGCCCTGTCCCTCCACGGTGTCACCTGCCGGGAAAATGGGGCTGAGGGGGGTGGGACGAGGCCTCAGGAGACCCCCGGGGCCGAGTCCTG